CAACAGATATGAGTAATAGATCTCAAGATTGCATGTTAAAACAAATTTTCTTCCTAGAATGAAAGTTAAGGCTCAATTTATTTAACTGAAAATGTATTAAATTAAAGATGGGAGAGTTCAGATACAATAGAGGTTGTATCTAAATACATTAACACCATGCTTATAATTTTTTCACTATAGCATTTACAATAGATTTAAAGACTCTGACAACAAAACATACATATTCAATAGGCCTGTTAAAGTGGAAATTAAAAATTAAAAACCATTTAACAGGCAAAAACAAGTAATAATCACTTAGATTAACAAAACTGTGACAATTACATTTTGCCTCAGCATTCCTAAATTATTAACTGTTCTATCTTCCAAATGCCCAAACAAGAGGATACGGTTACTCTCCCACATCTTATTCAGATGAGGGGTTTTGAGCCCTTACCATGTGTGAGCTGCAGTGCTGAAATCCATGCAGGCATCAGAGGTGATTGAGGCCAAAGGGCAAACCTCAAGGAGACAAGGGCAACTCCCAGTGGTCATGATCAGGCAAAGCAGAAAGACAGTGTCAGATTGACAGCTTTGGATTTATACTAAGGAGTTAGTCCTTGTTTTTCACATGCCAATTGAATTCTTGAATCTCCAAGTCATTTTCCATTCATTGAAAACTAACATATATGATGTTAATACCACCAGAAAGCATTACTGTCTTTAAAGATGGGCACTTGAAATGGTGTTTGATTCAGTGATCTGACCTTTGTTTTCTAGTTTATCAAAACTGGAGCAAGAAAGATCTGTGTATTTACTTCACACAATCCCAAATATGTGAAAAATCATAAATATATGAAATATGATGCTGGATTTGATTTGGTTTTCAAAATGGTTCTTTCCTGTACAAAAGGACTCTTTATAAATAAATATCCTTCAAATGTCAATCTCCTCTATTAACTTGAGCATCTGGTTAGAATTTCTTAAATTGTATTTTTATTTCAGAAATATGAATTCCCCAAATAATGAAAATCTCTTTCAGAAGTATGCATATGGGTGCAGATTGTTTTTTCAAGTTAAGGCAGCCTTGCAGGTGAAAGGGGTGTCACACCAGTGGATTAGGAGGAGTATTATCATAAGTAATTATGTATAGTCTTGAAAAGATAACTGAATATTTCTTAATGATTATAAGAATGCATGTTGATTAATAATCCATAAAATACATTGCATCTGCTCTCAGGGAAACTTTGAGAAAGATATTATTATTTTACTTTTTTGTTTTTAGACCTAAAACCAAAATAGTAAGTTTCACAGGTCCAGCACAGTAGCTGAAATGCATGGGCATGACTTCTCCAGGTTTGGCCTGTCATACCCTTTCTACCACTGATAAGTGTTCTAGGAGATCCACAGCCACATGAGTAACTGATGATGTCAGTCACTGAAGTCAATTTGGTGGGTATGCAGAAATGTTGCCTTTTATGTTCTCTGAGAAGAATGTTGAAGTTTGTTTGTTTGTTTGTTTTTGCTTAATCATATGTGAAATTTGGAAGCATCTATTTAACCTTTTGCTCACTTTCAAATGCACTTTTAGTCATCATTTTACCAATAAATTGATTGCTAGTGTCTGTGGCTTGCTTTTTCTTTTCTTTTTTTTTAAGCTGATGATTAAAAATAAAACAGGAGTTTCTAATTCTGATAAAATACTGAATTCGTTAATTTATTCTTCTCCTTTTTTTTTTTTTTTTTGTACTAAGGGATTGAACTCAGGGATACTCGACCACTGAGCCACATCCCCAGCCGTATTTTGTATTTTATTTAGAGACAGGGTCTCACTGAGTCTCTTGGTGCCTTGCAGTTGCCTAGCCTGGCTTTGAACTCAGGATTTTCTTGTCTTAGCCTTTCTAGCTGCTGGGATTACAGGCATGTGCCACCACTTAATTTTTTCTTGTATGAGTAATGCTTTCTGTGTGCTGATCAATCCTTGACTATCCCATTTTCATGATAATTGTATCTTAAGGTTTTGATCTTTTGAGTTTTATATTGTTGAGTAAGCATGGTAAGAAAAGATAAATTTGCCTCATTGCTGATTTTTTGGGAAAAGCATTCAATAAAAATATCATTGAGTTCAATATTAACTGTAAGTCTCTCATAGATGCCCTTGCTTTGTCAACTGAGGGAACTCCACCTCTATTTATAGTTTGCTGAGAATGTTTGTCATTGTATATTAAACTTTGTCAAGTATTTTCTATCCAGGGATATGACTAGATTTTTTCCTTCCTTATTCTGTTATGTACTGGATCAGTTAATTACAATTAGAATGCTGAGTTAGCCTTGCATATTTCCCCACACATTTGTCATTTCATTTATTTCTGTGGATTAGTTTCCATATGAATCACCCATTTCAAACTAAAGGGAATGCAAATCAAGGTGATTGTTTTTCTGTTTTGGTTTATCTAAAGTTTTCTTTTGATTATTTTAGAAAACTATTTTTGTAGCATTTAAATCATGGACTGACAAATGTCATTTCATTGATTCTGCCTCCACTGTTCCTGATAAAGTTGGCCAAGTTTGCTTTTAAGATTCTTATCTTTCACTATAATTTACCTGGTTTGGATGTCATTTGTATTTATTATGCTTGGGTTTTCCCATTCTTTTTAAACTTATAAATTGGTGTTTTTGGCCAAATTAGATTGTGACCATCATTCTTTCTGCGTTTGGATAGTTTGATAATTATTCCCACTGTATCTTTTCCCTGTACTTTATTTCTGGCTTCCAGAGTTGATATTTTCTCACAAGTGCCTGCGGCTTTATTCACTATTGAACTCTTGTATTTGTTAACTGTTCTTCGGGTCAATGGTTTCTAAGTCTGTCTTCATGGTCATCCACCTATTTTGCTACTATTTCTAATCTGATGTTATAGCCATCCAGCATCTTTTAATTTCAGACATTTTGCTTTTCAATTCTAGAATTTCCATTTGTTTCTCTTTTGTAGTTTCCATTTCTCTGCTGAGATTCTCTATTTGTTCACTAAGAACTTTGTGTTGAAGTTCTTTAACGTATTTTAAAAGCAACTTTAAAGTCCTTGTCTACTAATTACAGCATCTGGGTCATCTCTGGCTCTGTTTCTGTTTACTACTTCCTTAAAAAATTGACTGTGGTTCACATTAACCTGCTTATTTATATGTCTAATGATTTTATTGTATGTTGGACATTATGAATGAAGTAGTATACAGTGAGGACATTTATTTACCTTTTAAAGAGGGTAGAGTTGGTCCATCAGACAGTTAATTGCTAGTCATTCTTAATCTTATTGAGGCTTGATTTTATTCCTCTATAGGGTTTGATGATTTAGAGTAGCTCTTACTCTAGGACATGGTTCTTTCCCTCCAATTTGAGTCCTTTGGGGGTATTTTGGTCACATTTTCAAGATATCACTGAGGTCTTTCCACTCTAGTCTCTCTTCTCCCAGCAGATTGTGATTCATACTGTCTTGATTTCACAGTCAGGTCTATATCAGCTATTCTTGTTGGCCACACAGAAGTGCCTTCTTATATGTGCAGTGCAGCCTTTAAACCAGGGTCTTGTGAACAACCCTCATATGTTTGAGGGCCCTTCTTGTAGTTCCTTATCCAGTTCTCTAGGCTTCTGCAACTTCACCAGCCCTGCATTGCACTCTGTGTGTGGAGTTTCTGATTTGGAAGGATTGAAGTAATGCCCGCCCCAGGAATCTGCATTGCTAATGCATGTCTAGATAATGCTGAGGCTGCTGACCTAGGTGCCACACTTTGACAAGTACTTTCTTTGAAAGATGAATCTTCAGGAAAATATTAAGACCCAATATATACAGTTTTGCTTTTTTTTTGATCCCGTGTTCAGCATAATAGATTCATATTCCCATTGATTTATATAGTGATAGTATTTATTCAAAATATGATTTTATTTATTCAAAATATGATTTTCAAAACATTATGCGGTTCTTTTGGCATTGAAAAGAATAGATTCTTAATTTAATTGGTAATTAAAACTAGAAAATATAAGAGAATAAGTAGTGTTCTATAATAATGAAGTCTTTTCATTCTTATTTACACACAAAAATGGACTTTTCCATTCAAATATGAAACTTGATGAACATAGTATTTATTATATTAAAGAAGTATTTGATTTTTATTTCATAAATTGGACTCTATTTTAATTATTCTTAGGCTTGTACACATGTGAGTTGTGTGTGTATGTTTGGCCCATATATACAAAGCAGTGATAAAGGAGCCTTTTTGGAGCCCTACCAAGCAGATTGCTGCCTGCATTTCCTGCCTCAGAAGATTTCCTGACACTTTGCATTTTGTCCTTTAGTAGTTATCTAGATAGCTGTTAAAATCCATCTATCCCAGTAACAGATTTTATCTCCTCTCTTGCCTCCATTGTTTCACCGAGTCTCTCCTTATTTGTGAGGACTTAGGAAATTATTGCTTCCTTATAATTTAATCCACACCTTTCCTATCAGTATAAGTCTTGCACTGGTCTCCATTTGGTGACTGTTATTGTTACAATGGTGACATGGCTTCCAGTGGCCCACAGGACAGTTGCTCAGAATAGGAAGTGTCACTTCAACAGCAGTATGTGATTTGTTTGTTAATTCTAATGTATCTCTGACAAATATTTTACTTCTCAACCTCTTTAATTTCTTTGAGGAATTGTTACAACATCATTTGTTGGCTAAATCAGAAGGCTATGAGATAGCACATTTTAAATATTGTTTCAGGTGCAAGGTGCAATTAATAAAATTTCATTATCAGCTTCAGACATTTGTTTTAAAATAATACAGGAAGGTACCGGGATTGTAGCTCAGTGGTAAAGTGTATACCTGGCACTTGTAAGGTACTGGGTTTGATCCACAGCACCACTGAAAAATAAATAAATAAAATAAAGGTATTATATCCATCTACAACTAAAAATATTAAAAAGTATTAATACATGAATACTAAAATACTAAGTAAAATATTAATTATTAAAAATCATGTCAACAGGTTCACTTTGATGGTTGGGACCATAAGTATGACTATTGGCAGGAGGCAGACAGCCCTGACATTCACCCCATTGGCTGGTGTGATGTAACAGGACATCCACTGGAAGTGCCACATCGTAAGTATTTTGCTTTTCATTGTTGGTTTTGAATTGTGATTTTGAATTCCAGCCTTTCTTGATTTCATACCCCAGCATTCCAGGAAGATGGTTCTCATTTTATGTTGACCGCCCTCCCCAACATTGCTCACCTCACATCTTAGTCCTGTCATTGCAGACATTTGAAAGCTAAATAAAGATAAGTGAATTAATCATTGCTACAGCTACACCGAATTCTAATTATTCTCAAGCCTCAAAGGACATGCGTTATGTAAATGAAAAGTAATACTTACAAGGAAATTATTTTGATGATGTTTTCCAAAGGAAACTATTTTCTTTATTTTAGTTTGGAGAATTCAGCCACCATCTCTAAATCCGTCTGGTCATTGCTTTTAGTTCAAGCCAGATTTATTTTTTTAAACATTCTTCTTAATTTTATTTTATAGAATATATTACAAATAATTTTAGGGAAAAACATCCTAAAATATTTTAGATTTCAGCAATTTCAGACTTTTTTGATTTTAAAGGTTTTTAAAACCTCTATTTTATTGGCATATTCTTTATTTCTGCCTTTCTATCCACTTAAAGTTAAGGAGGAAATTAAACACTCTAAATTCTAATGAGCTTCCAACCAAAATCCCTTATTCTTTTGTCTGAAGGAGTCCTCTGATCCGATTAGGCTGACATGACTAATAACTAGTTCCAGACACTTGTGCAAGTGTTCTCCATTCTTGGGTTTGTTTTGCTCTCTTCCTCCTTATGCTTCCCTCCCTCGACATCTTGGGATGGAGCTGGCTTGAAGTGTGTTAATGAGGTGTCTTATGTTGAGCCAGCCTAATGAGCTTGAACCTTAGACCTTGAAGCACCCATGTCATCTGTGAGAGAATCCCCCAACTTCTGTCAAAATGAGAGGAATCCCTGACTAATTTGACAGTCTCACATTGTGCTGGGCTCCTTAAAATCTACAGCATCAGTAAGATGCATGCTTTTATGGAAATGACAATGTATTGGCAAGTGGAGGCTCTCCTTACGAAGAATGGCAGACAAGACACTGATCAGCACCCTTGGGGGATGTCAGGTCTGAGAAGGAGCCTTTTAATTTTCTCTGGCCCTACATTTTTGTTTTCTTGATTTCATACCCCAGCATTCCAGGAAGATGGTTCTCATTTTATGTTGACCGTCCTCCCCAATATCTCACATCTATTCCTCACTCATGACTTTTTCAACTAGAAACAATTTCAGCTGTAACGGTGATGGGCCAGCATCACTTTATTGTAAAAAGTGAGCTAAGATACTACATGCTGTTTCTTCTGGCTTCTACAGAAGTGGTTGTGCAATAAATGTTGGCTAAGACCATAATTTAATGTAAGTCCTTGGAAATATAACAGAGAAAAACCTCTGGAGAGTGAAAACTTGAATGTTTCCTTTCAACTAGGAGTTTGTATGACCAAGTGACCACAGCTTCCTCCTAGCAGCTGTTCCCACAGACAGGCACTCACCTGCATGTCACCCTTGATTCCACTTTAGGGTATAACTCTCCTTTCCTCATCCGGGAGGATTCAATTTTCTGTTTTACCCAACATACAGTCCTTCATGAGGGACTTTGTTTGCACTTAGAATCAAAATGAACTAATTAAGATGTGGCTCTATTGAGTTGTTAAGATCTTTCCATCACACTTTGTATTCCCTGCGTGTCCTTAGATACCAAAAGAGCCTAGCTTAAAAACCATGCCTACCTCCATTATCTCACTGGATTGCGTTTGGCAGTCTTTTTGGTGACATCAAGCAGAAACTTATCTCAGTCACATTTTTTATTAAATTTTTAAATTGAGCTCATTTCTTTTACTATATCCTTTACTATTTGCCCACAGATTAAATACTCCATTGGATAATGAAGTATTTCTTGCTTTAGAAATTAAACAAGCTTGAGGAACAAGATGATGGACTTTGGAGTTAGAGATTCTTGGGTTTAAATGTTCATTCTGCTCCAACTCTATCTGTGTGCCCACCACTTCACCTCTAGGCCATGCTGTCTTGGGAGAATAAATACAATCCCAGTTGCTGTTCTTCTACCTGGTATCCAGAGTAAGTCTAGGACCAAGAATGCAGGCACATTTGCTTCCCAGGCCTGCATTTCTCTTTATTGGACCAGAAAATTAGGAGTGACTTTAATTCCCAGGTCTTCTACAGCTAGTATGTTTATTTCTGTAGGTGCTTGTTAAGTTGTACTCTTCAGAAAAAGTTTGCTGATCACTGAGTGAATACTGATTAATATTTAGGACAGTTCAAAACATTTCAAATTACTGATTCAGACATAAGATCAATGGGCCCTATAAACCAAATTCAACTGAGATATAGTTTTGGTGTTCTTTAAGTAAAAATCTAAACACATAAATATATCACTGGAGACAAAAATTATTGTGACATGTGCAGTAACTTTCTAGTTGTCAAATCAGATAGTCCTAACTATTCTTCACCTGAGCTTTCTCCTCTGTTGTTTTCTTTCTTTATTTCTGACTTAGGCAAAGGAAATTTCTTATGCCTCTTTTCATAGTCTATGTTAGCATTTGGGCAGAGAAGATGAAGTGCTTTGCAGTCTAGAGTTTCTCCTCTCCCACACTTTGTCTGATTCCCCTGGGGAAATAAATTGTCTCTCATCCTTGTCATACCACGGTATTTTAACCTTACTTCTTGGTATTACAGTTATGTGTTCTTGTGCTTACAGAACTCCCTCTAAAGTTCTTGCTCTCTGCTTAAGGCCCTTCACTGGCGTCTGGCTACTTTCCCAGCAGGGCTTCTTATCCTCTGTCCTCACTTTCACACCAACCATGCTGGCCTGGAGCAAACTCTACAGCTAGACAGCCATACTTCACTTCACAGTTGCTGGGTTCCTTTCCCTGGAGCTTTGTGGCACCACCCATCCTCAGGCTTTGTTCAGATGACACCTCGCAGAGATGCCTTCTCTGATCACACCTTCCACAAACAATAATGCTGCTCCTTCTAGCCACTTACCTGCTTTGGATGTTCTCACTGGAAGTTCTCAGAGGCTGGCCTGATGCTAAATGCTCTTTTAGTTTCTGCTTTCACTCCCACTCTATCTTAGAAACTGTCTGATTCACAATGGCGGGGACATTATGTTTCTGTTGGTTCTCCATTGCACCATCTGTAATGCCTCCATAGACAGTACAGCCTGGAGCTCAAGACAGTGACTGAAAATGTGTATCCATTTTAGACCTATGGCTTCCTTTGGCAGCAGTTTTGTAATATGCATCTTTGATCCTTGGAGTCTTTGAGGCTCTCACAGGTGGTAAAGCACATTAGAAAAATGTTTGCTGAAGGGTTCAGAATGGAATGTACCAGTTACAAATAGATGGGCTTCTCCCTGTGTGATCTGGCCATCGCTTGCTTGCCTTCCCACCTGCTAGACAACATGCCCCTTCATACAATGGACTGGGACTGCCCCATCCATGTCCTCTGTTGGCCTTGTGCAGGGTGGGCCCTCAGTAACTTGTTACTCTACCCTCCCTGCCCCTTCAGCCCTTCTTTTAACACTATTTCAGAAATCACAGTTAAACAATATGATATTCAGTTACATGGAATTGCTTTGTTAATGTTTTCAGGTAGGAATAAAAACAAAATTTAAAAAATGACAGGTCCCAGTTCCTCTAATAAGGTAGATAAAATTAAGACAAAGGACCTTCTTTTTAATTGCATCGATATTTGGATGACCCACTTGGTAACTAATAGAGTTTTCACACCAGGATACACAGGATACATATAAAGTGGGTTTTTTTTCCCCCTGAAATGACCAAGAGCTGACAGGCAGTGACAAGAGCTGGTAGGGTTTGGAGTGGTCTGATGGCACTTGGCCCTCCAGGGAATGCTGCGATGCACAGTCTGGAACAGCCCATGCAGCAAACATCACATCAGATGAGGCTGGCCTCTTGTTTCTGACACAAACACCATGTAGCTCCAACTTGGGAGGAATAAAGCTGCTCTCTCAGATTAGGTATGAAAATGAGTAGACAGGGGAGAAGTGATTTGGTTCATCTTCTCAGAAAAGTTCTTTATCTTTGGGAATCACCAATGTAGAGATGTAGAGTATAAAACAATGTCCTAAGAGCTATTGGTTTCAAACATATCATTCAGGTGTAAGGGAATCAGTGATTGGCACAACTCTTTGGAGCCAGAGGTGGGTTTTGGCTCTGATCAAAATGTAATTCTTGGGTTGGCCTAAATGGGCAGGATGCTCTTTTATCATCAGCTGAGTCTCTTTTTTGTTACAGCTACCCTTCTCTCAATAGGACAATTCAGCTGGTGAAAACTTCCAGCTTGAGTAAGGCTGAGTCTGGGTTTCCAGGAAGAGGTGGCATCCTCTGTTTTGCAGCAAAAGTAGTACTACACAAGGCATAAGGGGAATCAGGTGGCAAAAAACAAAAATGGGTGATACCTCATACCATTTCCATATATCCTCATAATGAGCAGCTCACAACTCTGTGGCTGGACCTGGATAAATCCCCTGGATTCATGCTTCAAGATACTTCCCCCAAGCGAGGGAATCCTAGTTGTTTGCTCTGGCCCTTAGTTCTTTCTTTATGTGGCCTTCCTTCTGGGTCCCACACTTCTACTTTCAGAGACCCTGTCCTCCCTCCTGAGGCACATAAGAACATCAGGGTCCCCTCTGGGCCCCAGATGGTTTTACAGATGCAGCAGTATGGCCCTAGGTCAACCCCCTGCTGCCACTAGAAGGCTCCCCATGGGCATGCCAGAGGAAGCACATAGCTGCCACTGCTCCAGCCTCATCTAATCAATGCCAGCCTGAAGAAGGGAAATGAGAACAGGAATGCAGGAATCTACACCTTGATCCCCTGGTCTGCCTACCACCTCTTGTCTGTTGCCTTCCTTTCTTTAAACACTTATTCTTTCTTACCCAAGATCTTTTCACAAATTCTCTTCTAAGCGATGACTCTTTCTCACTCTTTGGAATTCATGTCAAATATCCCTTCTTTAGAGGCACCCTT